AGTGATAGGACTAATCTTATTGCACCAAAATGTAGAGCAGAGTATCCCTCAGTCTTCCAATGATCTACGAAGGTTTTAGGGATTTCCAGGTTAATATACCTTTCCTCCTTTGTAGCAGGTATCTCACATTGGTCCATTCTGGTAGATTGAACATACTCTTTGATGGGAGATTGCTTTCTAAGGATCAAAGCATTGACTTTATTGGTCCAGGATTTATGTCTCCTGAAAACATTATAAGGGCTTAAAAGTGGAGCTATGGATTCCTGAATTTGAGCACCCTCAGGAACATAGGTGTATTCTATCAGGTTTTCTATTTTATCAGAAGCAGTTCTGATACAGTCTTTAGGTAATGAAATGGGAGAGTTTACAAGTAGTGGAGAGATTTCAGAAGAAGTGTCTGTGGTTGTATTCATGGTGTTGTGGTAACTCTTACTGACTTTATTTGCAATGACTATCACACTTATCCCTTCTTTCAACAGAGACTTTAGGCTCTGAATAAATACAGGAGTTCGTGGCTTTGTTACAGATAGGAGCAACTGTAAAAACAGTTTCTCCGGTAAGTGTCTGTCAGCTGTCCAGCCGATAAACCCTGAGGATATGAGTATCAAATAATTTGAAGGCTCTGATACCATCACTGGCTGGGAGCCTCTTATATCATAACCCAGAAAGAAACTATCAGCACTTTCTAATACTTTGAGCAAACCCATATGCATTTTTCTTATACTCATGCTGATCATCCTTCCTGAATCATAATAACATGGTTTACAAACATATGTTATTTTTATCTAATATAATTTTTTTCGTTCATATTTACTACTTAAATATAAAAGAATAAATATTTATGAGACACGCTTTGTAAAGTAGTAGTAATGTTAATAATAAGAAGGAACTGACCGAAATGACATAAATTGAAAATAGCAACAAAAGATAACATCCGAGATTGCAAGGATGCTCATAAGTTTGTGTTTGAATCAAAACAATTGATTTTTTTGAACATTTAGTTACATGACTTAATTGAATATTTATATAATAAACACTCACTAAATGAAAACTTATTAAGAAAAGTAAAAAAAAAAACAAAAAAAAACTTATTTTGAGTTAGATGAATTGAATATACACACACGTTTTCTTATTATGTTCAGTTTCATGATGGCATGTTTTACACGTGAATTTGCAACATTGAATATGCGTATATGTCACCATTTTTAAGTTATTTGATTTTACGTTTAAACCGGATTGAGAATTTTATAATGAAATCAAAAACAGAAGTTTTAAAATATAAATAATTTCATTTTACATTTAGTTTTAACTTAAATATATAAATCATTTTATTTTACATTTAGTTTTAACTAAAATTAATTTTATAAGATTACATTAGTTAATCTAAAATCAAGTTTATAATTATTCATCTAGTGGAGAAGAGAAGAGGAAAAGGCATTTTCGCTGCATCAGAATGGGAAGGCTACAAGGTATATATAGTTATAATCGATAATTTTAATGCAATAATTATGAAAAAAAAAAAAAGTTTGCTTAATGAGATAGAAACCGCGGTTACACCAACACTAAATACACGTATATAGTTTGGTTAATTTAAAATTGAGATGGTATATTTATAAATTTTAACACTATAAAAATAAATTCTAATGTTTTAAAATAATAAACTTAAAAAGTAAAATTTTTAATGTATAAATGATAACATCACAATGCATTTGTATTGTATATAGTTGATATGATGCTAATTATACCTAACTAATAATATCAATAATATACCATTATCACTTATTAGTAAGAGATAAAAGATAAGTTATTTTATTAGTCGAATGGCATTTAAATTCACAAAATTGCATATGTTTTAACTTTGTATAAGTGTGTTTTTTATTTTTATTTTTTTAAGTAAGTATTAGTTTTTTTTTTGTGTATATAAATTTTGAGTTCCTCTTAAACTCTATCGAATAATATATGTTTTACTTATAAAAAATAATATACATTAATTTTATACATAAAAAGAGTAACCATGGTAGTTTAAAGTTAAATATTTTTAATAATTATTTTGTAGACCTAATAGCTGTCTAATTATTTTTAAGAATAAAAAGGGGAGAAGGTTTATGAGTTTTAGGCTTTACAATATGACAAACATCAAGTTAATATGAAAATTTATAGCAATACATTTTTTTAACATATTTTTTAATTTTTAATATAATTAATTTATTTTAAAAAATTAAAACAAATTTAAAAATTAATTAATTTATAGAATAATTACTTTAACTTTTTTATTGACACTGAATCTTACAAAAATCTCTATATATTGCTTAAGAATATAATTTTTTTTAATAATTTGAAAATTACACACTGTGATATATATATATATATATATATATATATATATATATAATATTACCATTTTAGCATTTAGTTTGTATCCATCATGTAAATTAATAATTTTATCTAAGTCTCTTTTTAAAAAATATAATTTAAAAATAAAAGTAATAATTAAATTTAATAGAAAATTAAGATAATTGATAAAAAAAAATTTAAAATTTAAAATAAGTAATAATTAGTGAATAAAAACTAAAAAATTTAAAAAATAGTCAAAGTAGTCTTAAATATTTAGGAGAGTAGACGTGAAGAAAAAATTAACTTTTAGTTATCAAGAAGTAAGAGATTGTAGAAAGTTAAAAACTTTTATTAAAAGAAAAAATATATTGAACAAGATTTAAGGAGCGTGAATTATAAACAACAAATGTATTTTCAAAGAAAATAATTTGTTGAGAGAGAATAAAAAAAAAATCCATTTTTTTAGAGTACATGAAACAGAGGAAAAAAAAAGAAAAAAATTAAAGAAAAATAAATATTCTAAGAAATATCTAACCAAGAATTCTAAATCATTACAAAAGGTCCACAAAAATAAATAAAAAATTAATTTTTTTCACTTGCTAGATCAAGTAAGAGTTATTCTTCTTATCATTTTTTTTGTTTGCTTGTGTTCTTCTTCATTTTTTTTCTTGTATTTTTTTTATTATTCTCTATTTGTTTATATAAAAATCAAACATTTTTTAACCTTAAAAACCTTCTTCTTTTGTAAATTCTAAAAACTAAACATTTTCTAACCTTAAAAATCTTTTTTTTTTTTTTTGCAAAACTACAATTTTTTTTTTACAAATCTTAAAAATTCTAACATTTTCTAACCCTAAACATTTTTCATTTTTGTAAATTCTAAAAACTTAACCTTTCCTAACTCTAAAAATATTTTCTTGTTTTTTTTTTTGCAAACCTTAAAAATCTAACCATTTCTAACCCTAAAAATTATTTCTTTTACTTTTTTACATCAAGTTATATACATTTTTTTGTTTTCCCTTTTTTTTTAAAAAAAAAATCTACATAATAATCAAACTATATTGATAAAGTGGTAAATTCATATTCAATATTATTTATATTGTAAAGATTTAGCAAGTAACTATATACTAAAATTAATTCATGTGTAATGACGAATTTACTTTTAAAATAAAAAATTTTAATATTTTAAAAATAATTTTGAATCTTACGTGATGGATCCAAAAAAAAATAAATCTTTCTACAAAAATATTTAAAATATATCCAAACTGGATTTTAAAAAAATAACTGCTTAATTAACAAGAACATGATTTATAAAGTTCAAAATATTTTTATTTTTTTATTTTAAAACTTTAAAAGATTTTTTTTATATTTTTATCTAATTTTGAATTTAAAAAACTAAAAATAATTTCAAAATTTACTTCTTTTAAAATTTAAAAGATAGTAATAAATTCAAAAATAGTAAAAAAAATGAATTTTTTAAAGTAAAATAAGTATTTTTAAAGGTAAAATAATTTTATATAATTAATTAAATAGTAATTATTTTATTTAACAAATGTCTAATACTTTTGTAAACGATTCTTAAATTCAAATATAATTTCAAAAAAAAATTTAATTAATTTTTTAATATTTCTTTTGATAAATTTTTGTAGCGACAATAAAATATGAATTTAAATATTTGTATGTGTTATTATAATTTAATATTTAAAAAATTGGAAATAAGATAATATAAAATTAAATAGTTAAATACATTGAATCAAATCTACCAAGCTGGAATACCTTTTAATATAGATATCGATAATGATCGACAAACAAACGGAGAATAATCTTACGATAAGCTATTTTTTAATGTAATTAATTAATTAATCTAAAAATGTTAATATATGACAATTAAATTCTTCAAGCCCTTATCATGTGGTCACATTTTCAGCAATTACTGGAAGACCGATTGTTATCAACAACAGCACACTTTTACATATTATTTTGAAAATTTTTCTTATTTATTAAATTTTATAAAACAATATAAATTTTCCTCTATTTAATAAATTCAATACGTAATTTATAATTTTTTAATAAAAACTTTAAATAATACAAAAAATATTTTAAAAAATTATATAATGATAAAACTATTAAAATATCTTGCCTTGCACCGATTTTTTTTAATTTTATAGTATTTATTTCAGATAATAAAAAAAGTATACATGGTATTTATATATTATAATCTGAATTAATAAAATTATAGTTGAGATAAGGATAACAGATTTTTTTTTTTATAATTGGTTAACATGTTTTGATAAAAAAAATAAAAAATAATAATGATTATTTAAAAATAAAAATAAAATATACATATATGAATAAAAAAAGGAAGAATAAAGTATATAAAAATAACGCTAAATAAAAAATATTTTTAAAAAATGAAGTTATAAAAATAACCTTAATTGAGAAAAAAATAATCGAAACAACCTTATTATTTTGAAGTATAAAGATTTGCCTGGTGGAACCTATGGCGGTTGGGCTAATTAAATATTGGATTAAAGTAAGCAGAGAATTTAATTGAAAAACCTGAGTCGCAAAAAATAAAAGAAGAGAAAAGAGGCGGCAAAATTGTTATAACCACATAATAATTAATGAATAATAATAAGAGGAAAGAAAACAATACCAAACAAACCAAACGTATGTGGTATATCCTATCCTAAGGCAAAGTCCGACATTTCCTCACATTTGTTTAAGCTCAACTTTTATACTAACCACAAAGCACAACTCTCTCCATTTCAGTCGGCAATTCTCAAACCTTTGGAAAAAGTCAAATCATTTAGGAAAAAATATATTCAAGACTTATTATTGTTATTTTAATTTTTCTCTAGACTTAGGACCTGATTTGAATCTCAAAAAATATTAGTTTTTTTCATTTGAGGAAAAAAAAAATTAGAAAGTGTTGATTGAATTTGTTGAAGGTGGGTGATTTGATTTGATTTGTTTCAGTTACATAACTCCATTTTTATCAAATCATTTCTTTGATCCTTCAATGGATTCTGACTTCTGGACCTCGCGTCTTGCCGCCGCCAAACGCCAATACACGCTTCAGCATCACCATCCCAGTTCCCATTTAGGTTGGTGTTAATCTTGGCATTTCCCATTTTTCTTTGATGAGGAAAAATTTTTCTGGGTTCAATCAAAATCTGATTTTTTTTAATTTTTAAATATCTGGTTGTGTCAGATCGGCTGGGAATCGATGATTTTGATGTGGAAGAAGAGGTGCGACCCGATTTCCCGTGTCCGTATTGTTACGAAGACTTTGACCTTGCGTCCTTGTGTTCTCATCTTGAAGACGAGCATTCGTGTGAATCAAGAGTCACTGTAGGACCCTACTCTTATCTCTGATGTCATTTATTTTCCTATTTTGTAATCTAGATCTATGTTTTGTTTGTTACAGTTTTTTTTTTTTTTTAATATATAAACATAAATCTAAAGCTAGATCCACTTTGGCTTTTTTCTTCATTTGGAGAAATTGGTCGCCTTTAATCTTGATTGCAAGGTTGTTGGAAGCTTCCTGTTAGTTTCCTCAAATGATTGAAAGCACCAAGGGTTATTGCTATTTTAGCTTATTGTACAGAGGAAACCTTTAAATAAATGAATTTACTTGATATTTCAATCTCAGAAGAATTATAAGATTGCCCGGTGCTGGTATGATAAGATTACAAGTGAGCCATATTTTTTAAGTAATTGATATTAAGGATCCAGGAAAAGTAACCTGCTTTAGGTTCTTGACACGTTCTTCCTTTTTGATTGACCTGAACATAAGGCATGAGAATTGTAGTTTATTGGTTCATACTGGCATATAAACATGTTACCTTTTGTCTTTTGCCCACCTTCCATACTTTATCTATTAGATATTTTTCAATTTGGTTGTTAATCTAGAAGTGATGGGATGAATTAGCTCGAGTATTAATTTAAACTTTGTAGAGGAGGAAAGTCTGTGTGTCAAAGAGGACTGATATGGTTTAGTTGTAAGCTTGTAATCATAATAAGTTAGACAATCAGAGGCAATTCATAGGAAGAAAAAGGCTCAAGGGCATAAAATCAAGCACACTAACCTTCTTTCTAAGTAGATTTTTAAGGGTATATAGCTCCAATGAGGATTGTTTCTCTGTCCATTTCTTTTTAGTTGCCTTATACATTGTATAGCTGTGCTCAAGTGGTATTTACGATATATCCAAGATTATTCAAGAGGTATGTTCTTTGCTACCACTTATTGAGATGGGAAATGATCCTAAATTCCTAATATCATTTGTTAAAAAGGTGGTCTATGATCTTCTGAACCATAAATCGTAAATATTAATTGTCATTATAAATTTTGCGATGATTGATATGGACTGCTGCTGAATTAGGATACAGTTCATTGTGCATGTATGTGCCATGTTTGAAGAGTGTGTATGAATAAACTATAGGGTTTTGCTAACCAATGCCTGCACTGGTTAAGGAATTAAACGTAGAAAGTTTTCATTGAAAATTACACTGGGATGCATTGGAAATCATGAGAGGTAGTGCATCAATAATATTTTCTAATAAAAACTTTTCATTTTTTATTCCTTAACTGGTGTCTTGGCTAGCATTTGCCTAAACTATATATGAAGTAAAAAGATCAAGAAGCTGAAGTGCAGTGTTTGAAGAATTTGTACCAATAAACTTCTATAAAGTGAAAAAGGAAAAAACTGAAGATCAATGATTAGTTTATGTCTTTTTAGGGGTTGTTAGTTTACATCTATGCCTCAAGGATTGAATTAAGTTTGGTTATGATAGTCTCATTCTTTGTTTTTCTGTTATGCAGATTTGTCCCATATGCTCAGTTAAAGTTGCACGCGACATGTTGAGTCACATAATGCTGCAACATGGGCACTTATTTAAGATATCCTTTATACTCTTGTTTTGATTGAATATAGTTAACCTGTTCAGATAACGGGTTGTTTTTCTAAGTGAAAAATGAAAAACTTTATTGTTGCTTCCCTTAACTGAGGATTACTTACAGAGAAGGCGAAGATTAAGGAGAGTTGCTATTCCGAACAGTCAGACATTATCTCTTTTGGGTCGAGATCTTCGTGAGGCGCATTTACAGGTGCTTCTTGGTGGTGGTGGTGGATATCGGTCAAACAGTGCCACTGTATCAAATGCAGCCACTGATCCATTCCTATCCTCTTTTATTTTGAATTTCCCTGCCTGTGAAGCAGAAGAAATTTCTAAATCTGTGGTGACAAGCGTTGAAGATTCTTCTACAAAAAACACGGCACCTGCACATATCTGGAAATCAAGGTGCTTTTTTGCTCCCTACTCAGTAATTAATAAAAAGATATTTGGAAGTTCCTTTAAATTTTTCAATCCCTTGTGGTGTCAATATTTATCAGTTGAAGCCCTTGTGGTAAATCATTATCCTCCTTATATTCATCATTTCCAGCCTGCACATTATTTATGGTACCAAAATTCTTAAAACATTGTTTCAAATATTGGCCCTGCTACAGAACATGTTTTGCATGTTTTCTATCAGAAGTGTTTTTCCCACAATCAAATCATGTGATTGTAATATCAAGGGTGGGCAGAAGCAGGATTTGTGACCTTTCGACACCAATACTATTATTTACTAGTTATCTATTTTCTCTATTCATTAGGAACAGATGATAGCTTGATATAATTGTGTAACTAAAACTAGACCGTTATTTGTGCTTAACAAGTTTGCTTAATGTGTGCTTCATCCATATTAAAGAATGCGCTATGAATCGCACCTCTGATCTGTCTCTCTTTGCAGTTTTGATCCTTCACTGAGCATTGAAGAGCGGGAGAAAAGGATAAGACAAGCTGCTGGGAGATCTGGTTTTGTGCAGGATTTGTTTCTCTCAACTTTGTTAGGCGACTAATGGAAGCTGCAAGCTGCTTTGAGAAGAATAATCAACTTGAGATTCATCCGTAAGTATCTTGAAGGAAGGAAGGATACCTCCAGTGGGATTCAGTGGTTATTTGACAATCCATATTAGCTAAATTGGGATATTGTCACGGTGGCACCTTGGGCATAGTGCTGAATCTGATGATAGTTTTCCATTTATCCCACCCTTGTAAGTTGTAAGCATCTTTACTAGAGATGTATTACTTTCTGAGTAAAAAAAAGGTTTTTTAGCTTATGCAAAGACTTGTTTTGTTATATTGGTTGGCATTATGATCCCCTTGAGTCATAATAACATACCTTACCTTTATGGTTCCTTTCAAATGATATCTGATGAAGAAATTTGAAATGTTCTTTTTAATAAGTAGGAAATTTAATTCAATTAATGTATCAATAACTACTTCTATACACACCATCTAGTTGCTTGTTTGGATTATTTCGTTTCAAGAAAATAATTATTTTTCTTATAGTTCCTTGAAACAACTGATATCTGAGGGGAAGTGAATTTTTGTTAGTTTTGGCTTTAGTGAACTTAGTTTTTTTTAGTATGAATTAACTAATGTTTTTTAGCCTTATATTGTGGAACACAATTGTGTTGTATTCTTATTTTTAATATAAAAACGAAATTATCACCATTCAAATGTTTAATAGTTATAGATATTAAATCCTACAAAATCGGAAGGACTTTGAATCCCTTATGATTGCTGCTGAGTCTCTAATTGGCCCTGATACCTTCTTCCTTCTAGAACAACCAATCTTTGAACGAATCACGACAAATAAAAGCCGAATTTAGATAAGACCAGAACTTGTAGTTTAACTTGAATAGGATTGTTTCTGAACGGTCTAAACAAAATGAGTTTGTGATTATAACATTGATTTGTCTACCAAAAATATTTAATTTATCTCCATAGCTAAAAGAGCCTTTGAGGTTGACCAAATGGCAAAATTTGCTTGGGTAACGTTGAACTGGTTAGTGTACATTCAATGGAACACACGGTTGTCGGCATTAGAAAAAGTTCCAAATATGTTTATGATTTGCTCAGTTGAATTTTCGCAGAACCGTGTTATTAAATCCCAATGACGGTCATCATATTATGACTTTTAGGTGGTAATGAATATTCAATGATTAGTGATTACTACTATTATTCATCATCTTCTGATTGTTATTAAATTTACTTTTCTTAGTATACTTTGTTATTATATCTGTGTCCAATACTCTGTATTCAAAATTTAGACACCATTGAAGTTTTTCACTCTTCTTCGCAGCAAGGGTATATAGCAGGATTAAAGTTATATTTTAAAATATAAAAATAAGAACCTTTAACTATTTTTATTGTTGTTCAATATTTTAAACTTTTAATATAAATAATTTATACTTATAATTTAATTATTAAATCTATAAAGTTACATTTTATATAAAATAAAATTTGATTGCTCTTCACACATATATACGCTTATAATATCTTAAATAAAATAAATAATAATATTAGAAATAGAAGAAAAAAATGAATTCCAATGACCTACTAACGTACAAACACAAGAATTTTCAGAAAATATTTTTTTATTCAAAAGGTTTATAACTCACACTAACGTACAATTATTTTTAAATTGTACAAAATTAATAAATCGATGTTTCGAATATTATCAATCCCTCAAAGAATTTATAAATAAAATAAATCTTTGTTATTATTCCTTATAATAAGTTAATTTGAGATGGACTAAAGATTCAAACATTTAGGTTATGAACTTTAGAATTTCACTCAAAATCATTATTTCATTTTTAAAACGCCCAAATTAACAATCAAATTTCAAAAAAATTATTGTTGGTAATGTTAAGAATTAGAATAAAGAAAAATTTCTTGAAAAATCATTTAGATTATAATAGATTAAAATATAGACATTCATTACTCAAAAAAGAAGGAAATATAGTGTTTTTTTAAAATGATAATATAAGGTAAGTATCTTCTAAAAAGTAAGAAGCATAATTTATTCTAAAAATATTTATAATTATTTTGTGTTATTTTATTATCACTTCCTTTTGTAACTTTTTGACGTATTTAAAATTTATTTATTATATAACATTTATTTTTTAAAACGAAAATAATTGGCAACAATAGTAATAAATTAATAAATATCAAACTGTTAACAATATCAACAAATTAACATATAAATAAACAACAGCAATTAAACTTTTTTAAATAATGGTGAGCTACATAAATTATAAGATATCATAAAGCTATCTTCCACTTGAATGATGAACTCACTTTATTAGTTCTTCTAACATAATTTAAGATGAGACTCAACCATAGACTTATCCTAACTTTTTTCTCTGGTAATTGTATTTGTACTCTTGTCTTATATAATTTCTTATCGAATATTCTCATCTATATAACATTAAACTTAGTAACTTACTTTCTTATTAACTCTTAACTGTCTAACACTCAATTATGTACAAACTAATCTTTAGAGGAAACACAAATGATGCAATTATTTAATACAGTAGCAATAATTTCATACCCATTTTTATTTTATTTATACTCAAATTTTCCTTTTATTTCTTTCTTCTTTTTTTCCCACATTATCATCCACCGTATCTCTATTTTTTCTTTCTCCCCCCCCCCCCTCCCCTTCTTTTTTTTTTTTAATACTTTCTATTTTTTTTCTTCCACACATCTATTTCACACCCCATGATCGGCTTTAAAAATATGGTTACTCAATCTAATAATATAAAGAAAAAAAAATCAAAATTAGTACCTTTATATGGGTATAATTAATAAAAGTGATTTCATTTTTACTAGAATATATAAGTAATTTCCAAAAATGCTGACAAGAAAGAAGTTACTCGACCATATATCTAATAATCTCGTACTAAATACCCAAACACCTCTCCTTTAAAAGATTAAATTTAAATACACGTTTATATTAATTTATTTTAAAAGATAAAAAATATTTCTGTGAAATAATTGGTAGATAAACATGCATCAAACTTCTCTTCGGGGTGGAGAATTTTATTATCCATAATTATATCACCCAACTCGAATAACTTGACCCAAAAGGAAAAGCAGAGAAAATTTTACAAGGCAAACAACGAATAAAACAAACTTGAATTAGTTGAATTCAAATCTAGCGAGATGAGAAAATATCATTCCAGTAACCAGTAACCAGCAATCTCTTATTTTTTTTAATACAAATTAACCTTAAGTGGTGCTTATAAATCAGAAATGGTGTCTCAAATACAACTAATTATTCATCACACAAACACATTTCTTATTATCCTTACTGCTAATTCTACTTTACAAAACAAACAGCAAAGAAGAAACACTAGGATGCAAACCCAACCGAGCAAGAGAAGTGTGAATATTCTTCTCAATTTTAATTCTCAATAGGCTTAGCATCAACATCCTTGGGGACAGTAACAGTGAGAACCCCATTTTCCATGGAGGCCTTAACCTGATCCATTTTGACATTCGATGGAAGCGTGAAACTCCTCTGGAACTTGCCACTGCTATACTCAACACGACGCCATGCATCGTTCTTGTCTTCTTTCTCTACCTTCCTTTCACCACTTATCTGAAGCACTCTACCATCTTCAACCTCAACCTTCACTTCCTCTTTATTTAACCCCGTGATATCAGCCTTGAACACATGAGCTTCTGGGGTCTCGTTCCAACCAATTTGGCTGTTGACAAACGCAGCATTCTCTGGCAATGAATTGGAAATGATAGCGGAGAAAGGAGTATCCTCAAAAGGGTTGTTGTTTGGGATTATGGACATTTTCTTGATGTTGATGTTGCGAGGACAAGTTGGGTTTTGAGAGTGTCGTTTGTATTATATATTTAAGAACTCTTCCGAAGGTCAAGAGAATTCTTCGCAAACATTTACGGATGAGAGTGCAGGGCTCCATTCTTGGGTTGGGTTTCATCTGTGGACATCATTTTACCTAAGAGAGATATGTGTGGAAATTGTGCCAAATTTATTTATTTATTTTTTTCATTTTACCTTTGCGACAAAATGGAAACGCTATGTTCATATTTGTAATGTAATGATGGTGAATATATAGAGCATCATTTAAAACGTAGTGTACAAAATAACACTTGATTGCTAAACCTTCGTTTGCAGGAAACACTACTATATAATACTACATAAAACCCTTTTAAAGCTGATTTGAGTCACGGCGGAAAATGAGTCAACTATAGAGATGGATGGTGACTCATCTGAAATTGGCCACGTGTAACAATCGGGCAGCACTGACCCAATTGGAATCCTCACACTCTCCATCTCTCAAGGCACAAGAGAAGATTAAACTGAATTTTATTCATGAATGACTCATCATGTACACAAAATGTATATTTATATCCTAAGGAAATAACCCTGCTAGCTAAGATACAAATACGACTTATTACATCACGTCAGAGGCAATGGCATGAAAAATTGCTGATAGAAGGACACGTGGCAAAAGGAGCTGAACTCATTGAAGTAGAGATGAGAAGAAGAACCACGGGTCAAGAGGCCTAACGCCATATTTGAAGAATTAGTGCCGTGTGAAGAGAAAAAAAATGAAGATGATAACTGAGTTGAATTTGAATTGTGTTCTCTCTATTAGTATTCTTCTCCTCTTCTCCCTATGATTCTGTAAACTTCTCTCACATCAATGTTCATTTTAGTTTTAGTTATCCTTCTTCAATTTTATAAAATCCATCTCGGAGATTGTGGAGAACTGCTATTGCTCCATTAATCTGAGTTTAGTGCAGGAGGTTGCTGTTAGTTATTACTGTTTATGCTTAAATTCTCACGATTTCATTGTTCATGGGTGGGCCAGTGTTAGGCAATGCAAGATTGAATGATTCTATGCTGCTGAAGATTCACTCATTTCACATCCTCACTTACTGGTAAGTTACTAACTTGATTATGGTCTTGTATAGCAAGATAAGACTTTAAGAAATCTTACTCATAAATTATATATACAGAAGTGGATTAAATAATGATTTTCCAAGTGTAGTTACGAAAACATTTTAAGATATTATTACATACTAGAGTTGGTTAACATGAATTTCTCAACGAGAAAAAGTGAAGTGATTACTTATTAATACAATTACAATGCACACACACTACATCTTTCTTGCACAAACGACAAATAAGATCCTTAGAACAGAACAAAGCACACGATTTTCAACAAAGGAATAGATAGTTTAACCAGAGATTTGCACGGCCTTAACATCAGGTTTCTTGACCTCTTCTTTGGGAACAGTGACAGTAAGAACCCCATTTTCCATAGCAGCTTTCACTTGATCAACTTTGGCATTCTCTGGCAATCTGAACCTTTTAAGGAACTTGCCACTGCTACGCTCCACGCGATGCCACGTGTCATTCCTATCTTCTTTCTCCACATTACTCTCACCGCTTATCTGAAGAACCCTATCATCTTCAATCTCAACCTTCACTTGCTCCTTCTTAAGGCCAGGTATATCAGCCTTGAACACGTGCGCTTCTGGGGTCTCCTTCCAATCCACTCGGGTGCTGACAAATGCAGAATTTTCCCGAGAAAATTCAGAAACAGAATTGGGAAAAGGAAAATCCTTGAAGGGGTCCCACACGTCGAGGGAGAAAGGGTCGAAGACGTTGCTCCTTCGGCCACCGAAGATACTCGGAATCAGCGACATTTTCTGCTCTCTGGAATGCTGTTTGGAACTCTGCAAAGTTGAAGTTGCAATGTGATTTCACACACAAAACTGCTTGAACTGTCTTCAGTTGGTTCTGATATTAGCAAAGGGGACACATCGGGTATTTAAAAGAAGAGGAGGGGGAATCTAGTATTTTCGAGGAAGTGCTATTAATATTCGGCAGCATTCTAGATCTTCCAAAAAAGTTCAGAATCAGAACTCTCTAGATTAGGATCATCTTGGCCCAATTATTCGTGGGCTGTATGTCATATAAATCAAGGGCTTTATTGAAACGGGTCTCATAAAGCGTTGTACTTATTTGGACGGTTTATTTTACACTTCTATTTTGTTATTTAAAAATTGAATTTTGGAAGGTAATAAATATATTTTTCAACAAAATTCAATTTTAAATATAATTCATAAATTATTTTTAAAATATATTTAAAATTTCTGTAAAATTAAATTTATGAAATGATTTGTAAATCACTTCTTGAATCTATTTTCTTATAATTAATTAAAAAAAAGTTCAAAGAAGGAGTAAATGGGGAAAAATGGCTGCAAAAATATTTTTTTTTGTTACATAAAATTTTAATTTAGGTTTAGATGTAAACTATATATAAGAAAAATTTTGTTTCGTCGGGCAGCGTTATGGTATTGTTATTTAAAAAAAAGCTAAAAAAATATATTGCTTTAAGAATAAAAATTTAAATATTTTAGAAATTTTATTTTTAAAAAATTGAAACATTTTAATAACATAAAAAATCTTATCTATATTATTATTATTATTATTAAAAGGTAAATATCTCTACAATGTTCCATCTCGTTTCCATCTTTTATTTGCACTATTTATGCGTGTGTGATAATATTGCAACACTACAATTACAAAATATTTATTAAAATATCATATAAATCAGTAAAAATTCCTGAAAAAATTTATTGTTATCAACAAAAATCATTATCTCATGATATTTATTAATAATAATTAGTGTAAAATTAAAAAGAAAAATATAATTTGAATAAAATCTTTAACAAAGATAGATAAATATAATTTATTTTTAAAATTAAATATTCAATAATTATTATGTGGTTATAACAAAATAAGAATGTACTATAAGAACAAAAAATTATAAAAATAATTATACTAACCTTCCTTGAGATTGATGGTAAATATGTTTTATTCATGTGGTTGATTCAAAACTTACCCTAACTTCGTAATAAATGTTACACCTTTTTAACATGCTAATTAGACATTAGTCATTTAAATGTCACGTCCTAATCAAGTAAAACATTTGAATTTATTAGTATATTTTAGTAGTAACCCTTATATAAGTTAATCAAATTTTCAAACCCAATCACAACATAGATCAATATCTCTATTCTTTATACCTACTCTAGCTTCAATAACCATTTTTTAGCCATATTTTGCCACCATGACTTGCAACTACACGAACTTAGCGGCCCCAACTAGATTAACCCACCACCCCCATAATCCACGGAATGATGGACACAATCAAATGAGCTACCCATTTAGCTCTATCAACTTCAATGAATAACAAATACGTTGTCACAATAAGATTCGATCCTTTTATCTGAGGTTTCACATGAGAAGGGTGCATGGTTTAATATTGGTCTTCTATTTTATTAAAATATATTATTTCATAAAATTTTATATTATAATAACATATATTTGATGGTTAAGATTGTGTGCAGTATTACGTGATATGAGAAGATTCATTTGCTACTAAATTCAATGCAAAATGTCACACAAGACCTCTATTCATCAAACTTTCAAACACAATGAGTCGAAGTCACTAACCTAATATGCCATCATAAAGCCCTAACATGTTACCTCCACACACTACCCGCTTTTGACACCATCATATTTGAAGCCTTTGTGGTGGTGGAGACTGGAGAGGGAGTCTTTGTTTCTTGCTTTGTAAAGAACAACAAACTCATAATTGAGGCTTTAGCAAAGGTACGTAGAGAGAATAATTTTTACTTTCCACACCAGCTTCAAGTTTGAAATTTTTTTTTCCAATTTTAGAAAACCAAGAGAAAGAGGAAAGATAGAATTGAAATTCAAGGATGTTAATTAATGATGCTGAGTAAAGAATAATTATTAATGAATTGTAAACGAGCTTTGATATATTCTGTTAATAATTTTCTTACTACTTTATAAAGTAAGTATTAAAAGAAAATATAAATCATATAAACATTCTCTTATTGAATAATTAGGAGGGTTTGTAAGAATAAATCGTAAGGAGATTTAGAATTATTGATTGTAAATAGAAGCAATTAATTTGTTGGGTGGTACAAAATTAAAAAACTAAAATGAAATAAACAAAATAAACTTGGCTCGATTAATGACTCCGTAAAATTACTAGATCATGGGTTAAAAGATGATAATTTTTTGCATTTAGACCTAACACAAATAGCGCACGCTTAAAAGAAGAAGCAGATTGGTTCTGTTGCTGAGAGTTTTTTTAATTGTTTCTTTATTATACTTTAATGTTTGTTTTCGTTGGTTAATCAAGTTCTATTATTGTGTTAGTGGAATCCTATTTTACGTTAGTGTAACAGTCATTTAGCCAAGTACTGTTAGTGGCATAATTTTAGGAAGCAGTTAATTTTAAATTAAAATATATAAATGAGGAAACTACTGTACAATATTATTCATTCAGTTTTCAATAAAGTACAAGCAGTTTGCTCAACAAGACTGCACAATAGTTTGCTGTTGTCTTTTGTTTTATGGTATCAGAGCTAGGTTCACAACTCTTTGGTATTCCAGTCATCTAGTGCAGAGGACTGAAGGAAAACCGAGGTACACTCATGGATGTGCAAACTAATGGTAATGGAACCAACACCTAATATGGGATGGAGAAGTTAGTTGGAACTAACTATAAATATTGACGTTTGTGTATGGAGGCATTCCTACAAGGACAAGACTTATGGGAAATAGTAGCAGGAAATGATAGCACTATTCTTGCAGACACTCCAGACAATGTAAAAGCCAGGTGGAAGTGAAAAATTAAGTGTGAGAAGGCTTTGTTTGCTCTCAGAACATCCATTAATAAAGAGCTGATAGATCACATACGAGACTTTGAGTCGTCAAATAAGGTGTTGGAGACATTTAAACAATTATTTTCTAAAAATAATGTAGCTTGTCTTCAGCTGCTGGAAAATAAACTTGCTATTACTATGCAAGGTACTCTTTCTATCTCTTAATACTTTTTTGAAAATCAAGAACTTGTGTGTTGAAATTTCAGAGTTGGATCCGGATGAAAAAATTAATGCTGCAAGAGTAAAACATTTTGCTATTCGTGGCTTGAGGAAGAAATTTCTGCCATTTGTCACTTCCATACAAGAATGGACAACCTTCTCTGGAGGAGCTAGAGAATCTTCTATCAAACTAAGAAGCGTTATCCAAACAAATGTTGGGGTCTGATAGTTTTGAATCAGAATCTATGTTGTTCTCAAAAGGAAAAGCTACAATAGAACATGGTGATGTTGATAAGAAGAAAACTTTTATATTATTCTCATAATTCTAGTAGAATAATAAAGTGTAATAGGTGTGGGAAGTTAGGTCATATTAGAAGAAATTACAAGACTAAACTCACCAAAGTTAATACAACACATGAGGAGGAGGAAGAGCTGAACTGGGAGCAATGCTTCACAATTGAAGACAAAGGTCCTGTCCTAGTCAATTTCATTGATTATCACACTATATCTCTGGAAATGAAAAAGTGTTTGCTGAGACACATTCACACAGTGATGATCGTGTTGTGATCACTGCAAACAATTCATCCCATCCAGTAGAAAAAGAAGGAGAAGTAAGCTTCAATACTGGTAGTAGTGAGGTTAAGTTAAGAAATGTCTATCATGTTCCTAGTTTAAAGAAAAATATTGTTTCTGTCTCTCAAATTACAAAATCTGGAAAGTTTGTGCTATTTGGCCCAGATGATGTTAAGGTGTTGGATCATGTAAAACTTATTGATGCGGAAGTGGTCTTAGAAGAAAAAAGAAAAAATTCTCTTTTTGTATTAATAGCTAGTGAAGCATATGTGAAGAAAACTAGCCAAAATGACAATCCTTCTATTTGACATGCAAGATTGCGCCATGTGGGATATTAACTACTGCAACAAATCTCTTCGAAACAATTGGTGGATGGCATACTATTCATGAAAAATGTTAAAGAAGAGGTTGTATGCAAAGGGTGTCAATTCGGTAAGTTACATAAACTTCCTTTTTCTGTTTCATTAAGTCTAAAAACTAAGCCCTTTGAGCTAATACATGGTGATTTAATGGGACTAACCAAGACACCTAGTTTTAGTGGCTTCTATTATGTTTAAGTTATTGTGGATGACTTTTCTCGGCATACATGGGTCTATTTTCTTAAAGACAAAGGGACAACAATGGAGAAATTTATGAAATTTAACAAGTTGGTGAGTAAGGAGTTTGAGGGTAAGATTGGCTGCTTGAGAATAGATAATGGGAAAGAGTTTACTTATGATGCCTTCTCTGAATACTGAGAAACCAGTGGCATTGAGAGATAATTCACTTGCCCTAGCACACCTCAACAGAATGCGATGACAGAGAGGAAACTAACAATTTTGATGACTGTTAGCCTTTGCTGGATTCATGATAAAGCTCTTCCTCATGAACTTTGGGCTGAGGCAGTCCAATGCGCCTGTCATGTGATCAACAAGCTTCCTTCATGGCTAGGTAAAGATAAATCACCTTTTGAATTATTGTTTGGAGAAAAGCCTTGTGTGGATTATTTTAGAGTCTTTGGTTCTACGTGTTATGTGCATATTCCGAAATTAGCAAGAACAAAGTTAGACCCTAAGGTTAAGAAATGTATATTTGTTGAGTATGATTCACAAAGGAAGGGTTGGAGATGCATGGATTTTGAAACTAAGAAATATGTAACATCTATAAATGTTGTATTTGATGAGGCTTCTTCATGGAATTCAGTCTCTAAAATAGTTCTGATTGATGAACTAGTGCAACAAGAAGTACAGGAGAATAATGATGTTAATGCTGATTTAGAGCCAAAATAGTATGTGCCTACAGATGAAGAAGTTGAGGAAAGTTTGAGAA